AGCAAAGTACTAGCCCGGTGGTCAGCAAATTGCAACTCGTGAGCCACCGTTTGCCACTCGACTAATGAGTTTGCCAACCAGTCATATACCATCATTTACCTCTTTACACACAATATGCCACAATTGCCTAATCCTCACAGCTTCCAACCACATTGAGTGTTATAATACTTCTTCAAAATAGACTCGCCAAGGCCAAAAACTGACTTCTGTGCACGGGCCACAAAGGTTCAATTGCACTGTACGTGGTATTTTGTGGAAGAGCCACACACTCAAGGGGCCAAAGAGCTGCGGTTTGCCAACCACTGGCTTGGTGGATAGAGCATTGGCCTGAAGGATCCCAGGTTTGATTCTGGTCAAGGGCACATGCCTGGGATGCAGGCTCAATCCCCAGTAGAGGGCATACAGGAGGCAGTCAATTAATGATTCTTATTTTTGATGTTTCTCTCCCTCTCTGAAATTAATAAAACACAAAGGCATACATTTATTAGTACAGCTGCCTTATTCTTTACCTGAGGTCCAGATTGTTGCTTTTGCTATTGTCGATTTCTCACAATCTTTGTTACTAGAGTCTAACCACTTAAACCTTTTAGTTTGTGAAAATAACTAAGGTAAAGGGATCTTTGCCTATAAGTAACACAGTAAGAAACAAAAGCAGCCAAGTAACCTTCTGGTAGTGGTAACTTTAAGTTAGGTACCTGAAGGACACGCCACAATGTATATGCTAAGAAAAATTTATCAAGAATCCACTTGTGCCTAAATGACTCAGGAGTAAATTTTAGAACCAACTTCTAAATCAATTTGACATATTAATATAGCCTTTAAAGTAAAATATTGAGATGACCATAATGAGATTAAGAATATAAAGCTAATATTTCATTCCTAACATTTTCCTAAAAATAACTAAGCATATTATAAACAAATCCTGTATGGGAAGAGTTCTTGGTGTGCCAATACTATCCCAACACTACCAGTAACTGCTGAACCTTGAAAAAGGTAAACTGCTGGTGGTAGACTATTTCTAATCACTTACTCAGACTTCAACCTTTCTGAATAGGTAATCAGACTCTGGACCTGGTTAATTTTTCCCTATAAAAGATCTTCAGATAATGTTCTTGCAGATTTACCAACCATTTACTCTTTATTAGTCAATATAAGTTTTCATATTAATTCTACCGGTTGGAAATTCATATTTACATTAAAGAAACATAAGCACTTGTTTCCAGTGATGTCAAAAGTGACTTTCAGCCCTAGCTAGTTTGGCTCACTGGATAAAGCGTCAGCCTGCAACTTTTGGAAAGCAGTAGATATTGTATTAGAATATAAAATCACCAGCTAAGCTTTCACCTTAGGAAATTAGAAAATGAGGAGCAAACTAAATCCAACCTAAGCAAAGAAACAATAAACAAAGAATAGAAATCAATGAAATTGAAAACAGAAAATCAACTAAACCAAAAACTGTTTTGTTTTTTTAAAGACAAGTAGAATTGATGAGCCTCCAGTCTAAGAGGATACACTTCAGGAATGAAAACTGGGACATCACTAGATTCCATGGACTAGAAAAGAAAGTTTGATCTCAGTAAATGTTATAAAACTTTACTATATGATATAATTCTGTACATATGCTAAAGAAAAACTGCAAGTCTCAGTGAATGAAACACTGATGATCTGGAAAATTAAGATAACATTTCACTTAAATTTTATTTTTAATCAGGAATATAAAAAGTGAAGGGGGAAACCACAGAAACAAATATACTACAAATTATCAACATACTATATCACAAAAAAGCAACTGAGTGGTTAGACAATAGACAATGGGGAATATTATGGACTTTTATAAAAAAAGCTTATTGGACAGAGAGATAGAAAACAGATAATGGTTCTATCCTCAACTCTGCTGCTAGTCAGCATTTAAGAGAACTACAATTCCTCTTCAGTTTCTCTATTAACATACTTAATTATTTGCCAGAATACTTCTTAAATCTAGGAATATAATTAATTGTTCTATGTATACTAGAGGTCACAGAGACCTCTTATTGATTGACCAGTAATCAGTTTAACATTTGTGTGAACAGTAAGAATTAAATCTTTTTTGTTAATAATCCTTACCCGAGGATATTTTTTCCATTGATTTTTAGAAAAAGGAAAGGGGAATGAAAAACATCGATGTAAGAGAGACACTGATTTGTTGCCTTCCACACTTGCTCCTAATAGGGCTGGTAAATCAAACTTACAACCCTGGGCACATGCCATTGACTGGAAATCACTAGAGATCAAACCCTAGACTCTTCAGTGTGCAGCAGATGCTCTAACCATTGAAAGTACCAGCCAGGGCAAGAAATGAATCTTGAGAGTATAAAGTATTTCATAAAAAGTACTACTTATGGCCCTGGCTGGTTTTGCTCAATTGGTAGAGCATCGGCCTACGGACTGAAGGGTTAAGGGTTCGATTTAGGTAAAGGGCACATGCCCAGGTTGCAGGCTTGATCCTCAGTAGTGTGTGCAGAAGGCAGTCAATCAATGATTCTCTCTCATCATTGATGTTTCTCTCTCTCTTTGAAATCAATAAAAATATATATTTTTTAAAAGTACTGTATATGTCAACTAATCAGGACAGTGATAGTGATTTTGCTTGATCTGTTACAAAAAAACATCAGGGAAAAGCATTTAGGTATTATGCTTTTAATTTATACATTTTTTCAAGTTTATTCCTATTTGGGGGGGGGTGGGGGGAGAATTCTCAATTTAAAAAACTAAAAAAATTACCCCGACTAGGGAAGAAGTAAAATTTTGGGGGGTAAAAATCATACCAAGTTAATGCTTTCTTTAAAAAAATAAAAAATAAGCAGGGTGAGGGGATGTCTTGCTAATCATTTTTTTAAAACCCATTACGTGATAAGAAATTTTAGTTTCTTAATGCAGTCATTTCCAACAATTGTAGTAGAACCGCCTTGCAACACAATTGACATTGTATGAATTTTCTTTACTCTCTTTCTTTGACTTTGCTTAATTTTAAAGATTAATACAGTGGTATTTAACTGTGATCCTACACTGAATCTATTGAAGTTTAATATCTCTTGAACCCCATACTAGATCTTAGTTTTAACCAACAAGAAATGACATCTTTCTTATGTGGAGAGAAGAGAAAATTCATCTGTCGGGCTAGGAAAGTTGCACTTACATCAAAATGACAGGTTAAACATAAGCTTTATCCCAGTAACCTGTTTGATAATCATCAACTGCTTAATTCCAATTTCTTTTCACCTGAACCAGTACTTTTTGTTGTTAACAATTCAAAACTATACGTAATTTTACAAGCATGTGTTTGGTTTTGAAAATTTCAATCCACAAATTTACCAAAATATATGCAAGCCATTAAGAATCTTAAGAAGGCAAAGTTTATAAAATACAAAGAACTTTAGACTATATAGACTAAAACTAAGTTATTTATAAGATCACCAAGTGGAGTCCCTAATAACTTAATAGTTAATGAGGTATACATCTTTATTGCCTTATTAACAAAAACTTAGTCACCTGTAATCTCTCTGCAGTTCTGAAATTTGTAAAGCTAAAAAGAAAAGTGCTATGAAGTTTTTTCTTCTATGTAGAAAAGCAACATCACTAAGTCTATGTATTCTGCTATGAAACAGCACTTATGTATTGTGTCAAAAATGGTATTTTAGCCGGGACCGGTTTGGCTCGGTGGATAGAGCGTCGGCCTGCGGACTGAAAGGTCCCGGGTTCGATTCCGGTCAAGGGCATGTACCTGAGTTGCGGGCACATCCCCAGTAGGGGGTGTGCAAGAGGCAGCTGATCGATGATTCTCTCTCATCGATGTTTCTAACTATCTATCCCCCTCTCTTCCTCTCTGTGAAAAATCAATAAAATATATTTAAAAAAAAAAAAAAAAAAATGGTATTTTATCAAATAAAATTAAATTTTAAAAGTTGCTTCCCCATCTGTCATACACACGATAGCGACCCAAACTTTATTTTCAATTTAAACAATTAATAAAATTCACTGGGATCTGTATTATTATTCAGTGTCAACATAAATCAACTTTACTAAATAAGAAAATCCACTTGAAACATCTTTAAAACTCAAAAAGAATACACACAACTATATATTTTATCATTTTATTAGGAATAATTCCAAATGGGTTATGAAGAAAACTTATTCGAGTTTGATGAGTTTTCCAAAAAATCTTAATGAAGATATGTTCACCAATAAACAATAAAACATCAGCAGAACTATCATATACTGGGCAAAGAGTCAGGCTGATACCAAAAGCAACATGCAACATAAAAAAGATACAATATAAAGAGAGACAATCTGCTGGATATTAAAAATCATCTCCATATGAACTCTTTGCTATCAGCATATAACTAATTAGCAAATGAATCCAAACCACACCAAGGTAAGTTTGGCTGATGTAAGCCAGGAGTCATAATGGGGGAAAGGAGGGAGGAGTAATAAGTTCCTCAGTGCAAGAAATCTCAATAGTGTTTTGGAGCATTTCCCTGGCTGGTACAAGCAGTATTAGAAAATCTTTTTGGCAAGGGAGGAAAATAAATACAAATGGAATGCTACATTTTTATTTTTAAATCAGCAGACTGTCCCAGGAATGATAAAGGTATCAGTAAAGTAGCACGAGGATAACTTTAAAACATTATTTTCTGTGGGCTCAAAAAACATTTAAAACGGATTTATTTAAAGGTGTCACAATAGCTAAGTCCAGGCATTTAGGCTTAAGAAAAGTAAAATTACAAGAGGGCATTTTCCCCCCCAAGTTAAAGATAATTTCTTTAAAACCAAGCATATTGCTAAAGTGCAACATTATACTTGGTAAACAATAATTGGCAACAAAATAAGTTTAAACGCTGTAATATTCTGCCCAAACCAGTCCCAGATACTGTTTAATAACCAAGATGCAAACTAATTTTGTTGTAACAAGCCTAGACAAATTCTATCCAACATGTCCTTGATTAGATATCCAGTTTCATTTAACGTTTTGAAAGCTCATTTGACAGCCAGTCAAGTCCCTCATACAGACCAGTTCCTTGTGTAGCACAAGTGGCTTGAACATACCACTACAAAGAAAAAAAACACAAGAAAATATGTGATTAACACGAGACTATGTATAACACAGAGTTTAAAATTTCTGAATCAAATAATTATTTCCCCCAATTGTTCAGGGGTATTATTCAGTCAGCAGGTTCTAGAAAGGTACAGAAAAGAAAAGATAACATAAGCCTGGCGGTGTGGCTCAGTGGTTGAGCATCAATCCATGAACCAGTCAGGGCATATGCCCAGGATGCAGGCTCCATCCCCAGTAGGGGGCGTGTCGGAGGCAGCCAATCAATAATTGTTATCATTGACGTTCTTAGTTTTAGTCAGTGAGGCAGAGTTGTTACTCTGCCTCACTGACTAATCCTGGAAACAGTGCAGCTTAGTAGGAAAATGAATTCAGGGAGTTTTGACTCCACAAAACAATGTTTTCTTTAAAGGCCTTCTCTTTGAAATCAATTTTTTAAACTAAGGAAACAAAATGCATAAAACAATAGACATAAATGAGTAAATAGTGTTTTACATCTCAAATGATTACTTTTATATTTAATGATCTCAGTAACTGTATATTGGGAGTTCTCTCATAATTCTTGCTTCTCAAAAAACTCCTCTTACATTTAAATCTACTGCTTCTACCCACACATTAAATTTAACCAACTATCTGTCTATTACTTAATATAAAAAGCACATTCATGGGAAGATTGGTAACAAATAAACTACCCACCTATTCCTTATAACCCTCTTATTTCCCTTTTTTTTTTTAAAAAAAAGTTCAGAATTTAGGAGGCAAAATTTTTAGAGTATGGGCTTGTTGATATTTTTAGAGACATGCTTTTCAGATAATTTTATTATCGTTAGTCTTATGCATTCCAAAAATTCTACTTTTTAAAATTGGCAATGAATCGTTTCTCTAATAACTATGTACTGCCATGAAAAGTTACAAATAAAAAGGACTTAAGAGTGCAACACCACAGAAAGTATACAATCTTGCCAAGTATTACTATCAAAACATTTTAGAAGGCTGAGAAAAGGCATTAATATATATCATAGCATTTAAAAAAAAATCTAAATCAGCCTGGAACATCTCAATCAGTCTTTACATTATTGCCACAGCACAGTATTTGACTTGCTGACAAGCTAATGAAAAACTATTATAAAGCCAAGCCACACTAATAGTTTGTGATATCATGTTTACATACAAAACTGCATGTTGTGTTTTGCCGATATTTAAATCATGGATATAAAAAAAGCTGTTAGAGAATATTTATTGTAATTTTAAATTCAAAACTTAGATAGAAGCATTGATGAGAAAGGAACATCATCTATAGGCTGCCTCCTGCACGCTCCCTACTGGGCTTTGAGCCCACAATCTGTATATGTGCCTTGACCAGGAATCAACCAGCAACCGTCTTGGTTCCTGGGTCAACACTCAACCTCTGAGCCACACCAGCCAGGTGCCACACAAGCTTTTGTATTATGGTACAAAACAATATTATCTAAAATATGGCTCCTAAAAACCAAATTACAAATTATTTGCTACAGTTATTTAAAAGATATAAAATTTAAAATACTAGTAATTTTTTAGTATTACAATTTACATACAGCAGTTTTCTACATATTTATCAATACTAAACATTTTGAGGATAAAGTTAACAAATATTAAATAAAATATATTTAAATCTTTGGATCCTTAACAAATATTTATTAAAAGTTAAAAAAATGGAGAAGGTATCAGCATTTTTTAAAGTAAAACTAACACATTTATAATAGTATGAAATAAATAGTATGAAAGGGGTCATATTTATGTAAGCAAGAGTAAACTATAGTAAAATAATGTGTTCATTATCTGCTCAAAGGGGAAGACTAGTTAATAAATTTTTTAAACTAAATATTAGCTAAAACAATTATTCTAATAATTCTAGTAGTCAAGAAATTCATATAAACCAAATACTTACTGTTCTGTTACGAAGAGACTGAAGACCTAATTTATCTGTCATTTCACTGATGGCCATAGCATTTGGCAAATCCTGTTTATTTGCAAAAAGCAGCAACACTGCATCTTGCAACTCATCTTCCTGAAGCTGAAAATAAAAGCAAAGACATTAACAACTGTACAGCCAAAGGACTTGTGTGCGTGTATATGGGCCTAGCTAGTGGCCATGGACAACAGGGGGGTGAGATTTGGGATGGGAATGGGGGGATGAGGACAATTATGTGATACCGTAATCAATTAAAAAAAACCCACAACTGTAAAACTGGAATTCAATTATTGTAACAAACTAGGTAAAACACAATCTTACTATATATATTATTAAATATCAACCCAATTTCTCTACATAAAGTTAGGGTATTCCCACAACTTAAATTTCTTATCCTTCAGTTGTAGGTTTTTTCCCAGTACTTATATATATTTTATTTGTATAAGTATACCTGTGCTGTTTTTTAAATGTTTTTTTATTGTTGACAGATTACAGATACCTCCCGTTTTCCCTTTTGATACCCTTCCACCCAGCCTCTACTCCCTGAGACCTTCACCCAAACTACTGTCTGTGTCCAAGTGCTATGCATAGACGTATTTAAGTTCTCTGGTTTATCTCTGCTCATCCTCCCTCCTCTCACCCTGAGATATGTCAGTCTGTTCCATGCCTTCATCCTTCAGTCTTATTTTGTTGGTACATTCATTTTGTTCATTCAATTCCACAAAATAGGTGAGATCATGTGGTATTTGCCTTTCTCTGACTGGCTTATTTCACTTAGCATAATAATCTCCAGTTCCATCCATGCTGTCTCAAAGGGTAAGAGACCCTTCTTTTTTACAACTGCATATTTCATTATGTAAATTTAACAGGTTTTTTTTTTAAATATATTTTTATTGATTTTGTACAGAGAGGAAGGGAGAGAGATAGAGAGTTAGAAACATCGATGAGAGAGAGTCATCGATTAGCTGCCTCTTGCACACCCCCTACTGGGGATATGCCCGCAACCAAGGTACATGCCCTTGACCGGAATCGAACCCGGGACCCTTCAGTCCCCAAGCCGACGCTCTATCCATGGAGCCAAACCGGTCTCGGCGGTAACAGGTTTTTTGTTGTTAATCTCCATCCAAGGATATTTTCTCATGGCAGTATGAGAGACAGCCACTGGTTGCCTCCGGCACATGCCCCAACCTGGCCTGGGGATCGAGCCTCAAACTGAGGCAGGTGCTCTTGACCTGAATCAAACCCAGAACCCTTCAGTCCGGAAGCCGACAATCTACCTACTGAACCAAACTGGCTAGGGTGCAACACAGCTTTTTGTTTGTTTGTTTGTTTTGGGGTTTTTTTTTTGTGTGTGTGTTTTTTTAAATCAATTTCTCTACTAATGGGCATTTGGGCTTTTTCCAAATCTTAGCTAATGTAAATAATACTGCTATGAACATTCTTTCTGATTTGGATTTTAGGATATATTCCCAGAAGTAGGATCTTATCCTTCAGTCTTTAAAGCCAGAGCAAATAATTATATGCCTTCAAGTAAAGCAAAACTTTTTCAAGCCAACTATGCTGTACTCCATTAAGGTAAAATTATTCAGCCTTCATGATCATTCATTGAAGGTAAGACTGACAAGGTCAAGAAACACATATGGCAACAAATATTTATGACAGTATCTTATGTACTTAGTAGTAGGACTATTTAGATAATGATTCTTTTTGGACTTTTATCCTTTCCAGCCAGCTGGACTAGACAACAGTGGGACAATAACAATGATTAGAGATTAACAATATCATTAAACATGCAAGAATACCACCAAAAGTAGAAAGCCAGTAAAAATGAGGTTCTGATATATGATACAATATGAACCTTGAAAACTTATGCTCAGTGAAAAGTAACAAAAATTTTAAAAATTCATAAAAGAGCACATATTGCATGACTCCAATTATATGAATGTCCAGAATAGGCATATGTTTATAGACAGAAAGAAGATTAGTTAATGTCAGAGCTGGGAGGGGTGGAGAATAAATGTGTTCTACAATTTCTTTATGGACCAATGAAAATGTTCTAAAATTAGACTGTGGTAATGGCTGTAACGTCCTGTAAACAAATAATCACTAACTTGTGCATTTCAAATGAGTGAAGTTTATGGTATGTTACTTTTATTTCAAAACTATTTACAAAAAGTGTAGAAGGGGTGATATGTAACTCACCAGACAAAAACAAACAAACAAACAAAAACACCCCAGCAGTTACTTAATTACACAAACACTGACAAAATGGTTTTACAGATTACACTTGTTTTAGGAGCGGTAAGTGAGAATTAAGATCTCATGTCAGTAATCGTTTTATGGCCATAATTTGAAACCATGGCAAGTTTCCTCAACAACCTCACCCTGCACTGGCTTTTTAGCAATACAGACAAATGAAAACATTAATTCAATACATAGGCAGGCCAAGGTGCCACTGACAACCAAAATCCTACTACCTTCCTCAGGATTCTTTATCATGGTTACTATTACAAAACATTTCAAAGTATACATTGTAGGCACAATATAGGAAAAAAACTAAACCAAATGACCTTAGGAGCAAGGAATCTGAACCAGCATCCCTCCCATAAAGTATCAAAACTACAGATTTTATACCTATAAAAGAGTGAACTAATGTAAATATGCTCAATCAGAGATATGCATCAAAAGCAGCTATGGAGCATTTTAAAAACAAGCTGGGCTTTCTAAAAACAAGCTAGCCTGCTGAAGCAGTTTCTCTTCTGTGTGTGTTTTTTAAAAAAGCTCTATAGGAGATTTTTATATGCATTCTTTTTTTTTCTTTATTGATTAAAGTATCACATATATGTCCTTATCCCCTCCTTTCCCCCCCACACACCCCAGTCATGTCCTTATCCCCTAGTGTCTGTGTCCATATATACCTTCTTTAAGAACTTGCAATGATAATTCTTTCTGCCCTAAAAAGTATCACTTGTGTAATCTAATCACAGTTAAAAATGTGCCAACCACTAACATCACCACTGTTACCTAGGAAAAAATGCACCCTGGAAATCTCAAATTAAAAAAAAAAATATTCTTACCATTTTTTGCAGCTCTTCAGCTCCTTCCTGAATTCTTTCACGATCATTGCTATCTACCACAAAAATAAGACCCTGAAAAAAATTGTTTAAATAAATTATGAGTTAAATGTAAAGGACACACTAAATATGAAACACAAGCATAAGCAGCAAAACCGTATCAAGTGGTAAATGTTGAGAAGAAAATGACCCATTATTTAAAAAAATAGAAAAAGAGCAGGGCTCTAAGTCCTAAAAACAAATTTGAGCACTATTTTTTACTTTAATATTTGAAGTTTTATTTTAAACACAAGTAAATGACACTCTTAACCAAATGAAATCTTTTCTCAGTTGTGCTAAGACTAAATTACCCCATTCCATTCCTTCCCTATGCCCTTGCATTTTAAGTGCAGATAAGTTTAAATAACAAAATGGCTGCAAGTGGGCCAAAAGGAAAAAAATAAGCCAAAGATTCATAAACTTACTAACTGAACTTATTGAAAGGAGTACAGTGTTGACAGAGAGAGAGAAAGAGAGAGAGAGAGAGAGAGAGAGAGAGAGAGAGAAAGAGAGAAGAGGCACGTTACAGCAGTTTTTCTATGATTCATCAGGAAAAATTAGCCCTGGTCCAAAATGTTGTCCACCAACTCAATCAGGGTAAGGAAGTTTTAAGCAAAATATATAAGTAAAATATATCTAAAATTCATGGTTGACTTGATCAAACAAGAAATACTTTATAAAAAAGAAGGTAGTAATCATTCTTCACAAATATTAGAATTTTATACTACAAAAGAAATGGAATTGGGAAGCAGTTCGTTGAATTGATTTTTCTAAAGAATTTCAAATAGCCGAAACCAGTTTGGCTCAGTCTACCACTGAGCGTCGGTCTGCGGACTGAAAGGTCCCGGGTTCGATTCCGGTCAAGGGCATGTATATTGGTTGCGGGCACATCCCCAGTAGGGGTGTGCAAGAGGCAGCTGGTCGATGTTTCTCTCTCATTGATGTTTCTAGCTCTCTATCTCTCTCCCTTCCTCCTCTCTGTAAAAAATATCAATAAAATATATATATTTTAAAAATTTCAAATAGGAAAATATAAAAAATTTTCAACTTGGAGGGCAGATTAATTTTATCTTTATTAAAATCTATTCCTAGTAATACAAAAGTGATTACTTTGAATGTTCTCACAACCCTGATCACAGTATTTATGATCCTTTGTCACTTTTATCACAAACTGTCTTGTTATTACTTATGTAAGTAACTAGATTAAATCCACTGAGGACAAAGGTCTACATCACTTTGTATCTACTACTAAGTATTACATTAAGTTTGCCTGGGTACTTAATAGTAATTTTGGGCTATAGTTGTTAAATGACATAATATCCTTTTGATCTAGCAACTTTCAAACCCATTTTCTTTATGTCTGTAAGAAGTCATCCTTTTTACACACATTTTTTAAAAATTGACTTTAGAGAGTAAGGAGGAGAGAAACATCAATGATGAGAGAAACATAGATCGGCTGCTTCCTGAACACCCATTACTGGGGATTGAGCTCTAAACCCATGCATGTGCCCTGACAGGGAATAGAACCCTGACCTCCCTCTTTATAGGTAGATGCTCAACCACTAAGCAACAATGGCTGGGTGGAAACAATCATTTTAAACATCCTAACTTTTGAAAAAAACTTTTGGTACTGTGAGAGCCAGTATGGCATAGTATAAAGAAACCCAAATTCAGATCTCAGCACTATTTATTAGTTATCCCCCCTAGAAGTTAATACCTTTAAAATGATTTTTATTTTTCTGTACTATCAACTCATTTTTATTGTTTTAAAATATAAGTAATGCTATCAGTCCCAAAATATGAGGGATAATTATTAGAAATAAATTTTAAGTTATTCACTTCCTTGGACAGCCTAGAATCAAGAGTGTAGAAAAAGTAAAATTTTAAAGATAAGTCTGGCTATTATTATAAGGTTACTTAAATGGCTAAATATTTATTTAATTGTTTAGAACAAGATAATTGGAATTATCTAGTGAGGGAAGAGGAATTTACTACAATAAACACTGTGTCCTGGCTTGTTAACACAAGTTAACATTATGGCATAATTAGTTTCTTTTAAATTTTATAGCTGAAAGAACTGGTCAGGAGTGCTGGCAAATCTAACTATAACAGCTTAGCTGTAATTATCAGGTAACACATAAAGCTTTCTCCAGCAGGCATCAGGTCCCTAGGAAGAAGTACTTGGACTTTTGATTTAAGGTGATCCAAAGAGGTCAGGGATGGATCTAATATCAAATTAAGACTTTGTAACCAACTTGTACAGGCTAAGAGGCCCCTAAAACGGGATGGCAGGGTATCTCTTTGATAAGTACACCCTGGGAGACGGTGATGAGAGCTAAGCCTTAGTCTGGCTGCCCATAGCCACAAGTCACCAAAGCAGTACATGCATGTTGGAGTTACCTTTCTTTTCCCATAACTTGTACCAAATCATTTATTCATGTCTTCCCTTTGTACCATTCCTTCAAATAAAATAATTAGGTACTCCCACGCCCCCAAAAAAGATCTCAAAGTAAACTACCAAGCATGCTAAACAAATCCAGGGATAAAACCAGGGCTCCCTTGGTTAAAAATTATAAGGCTTACGATTAACAAAGTTTTCCTTCGAACATAACTTTATTTAAAAAACATGTTCCCTAAATTAAATACCTATGACTTACTTTAAAATAATCCTAAAGATGAAGTACATTAGGAGTACTGATTATAATAAACAATATAGCCATATCCTAATAATTGAATTAATGTGGGAGTTTCTGATGTTACTCTCTCTCCTTTTGGGTATATTTGAGAATTTCCAAAACAAGATTTATTTTTAAAGCAAATGATTCATCAAAATAACTTTTCTAATCACAGCTATGCTAATGAACAGAAAACATTCTGATTTTTTCAATACATTTGTATTGGTTTCAAAAAGATGGGAGAAATGGAAATATCGATGATGAGAGAGAATTATTGATTGGCTGCCTCCTGCATGCCCCCTACTGGGGATGGAGCCTAAAACCCAGGAATATACTCTGGGAATCAAACCATGACCTCCTGGTTCATAGGTGGATGCTCAACCACTGAGCAACCAGGTTGGGAACATTCTAATTTCTAAATAAACAAACAAGGTACTTACTTAACAGGACATACTATTTAAGCCTGGTTGCTAGGGTATTCACTGCCACCTGGTGGCAATGTACCTCACTTGTATACAATGTTATGAGCTGGAGACCAAGAATAACTACTATCTGCAAATCTTAAACATATGAAGTGCTTGTTAACATCACATGTTACTTTGGAAACACAATAGAGTTGGAAGCAGGTTAAATAGAAAAGTAGAGCAAGAACCAGCTCTCCAGTCTTAGGTAAGTCATTCCAAGCTTCAGTTTCCTTACGTATAAGAGTAAGACCAGAGCAGTGGTTTTCTTGAGAGAGCAATTTAGCTTGTTGCAATTGGATTGGGGGAAGGAGGGTGCTCTACTGGCACCTAGTAGGTAGAAGCCAGAAATGCTGCTAACTATCTTACCATGTGAAGGAGAGCTCTCCCTTCACCCAACAACAGAATTATTATGCCCGAAATGTCAACAGTGCTGCTGTTGAATTACTCTGTACTAGAGCCTTGCTCCCAAAGATCTCAAACAGCAGCATCAGAACCACTACCTGGAACTTGCTAGACTAGAAACCTTAGGTGTTACCTCAGCCAGGCCCTAGTGAATTATCTGTTTTTTAGCAAAGACCCAGATAATTAATAGGTACATTAAAGTTGAGAAGCACTACTAATGCCTGGTTTATATTCCCAGAAATTCTGATTCAAGTGATCTGGAGTTATGATCAGGACTTTGGGATTTTGAAAGCTCCCAAGTTACTCTAATTTGCAGCCAAATTGAGAACTTCTGCTCTAATGTCTCTTCCATGTGTTATTTACTCTACACAGTAATATAAAACTATCTTACAAATCAATAGGGCAAATTAACCTTAATATATTATTGTAATGCTTTCTTTTCTTTAGAATTTTTAATCCTCACCTGAGGATTTATTTTTATGATTGATTGATTGAGGGAGAGAGGGAGGGAGGAAGGAAAAGAGAGAGAGAGGGAGGAACATCAATAAGTAACTTCCTGTGCACATCCCAACTGGGAATCGAACCAGCAACCTTTTAGTGTGGGGAATGATGCTCTAATCAACAGAGCTACAAAGCCAGGGTTGTAATGTATTTTAGTAAAGTAAATAATTAACTGGGGTAAATGAAGAATGATTACCTTACATTCATTAAAAACTATAATGACAGAAAGTTATAATATCTTACTTTCTAGACTAAGAATGAAACCAGTAGATATACTGATGAAACAGCTAATTCAATCTTTAGAATAACTCACAAACACTTAAAAATATTACTATGACAGCTATGTAACTCTTCCACGCTCAGTAATTTAGTCTCAAAAGCTTGAGTTCACTGATGAATATGGTAGTGATAAGAAGAATGCAAACTCATAGAGTAAACACCAACAGCCAGTTAAACAGTAAATATTAACATAAACTTTAGAGCATGAAACCTATAAAGAAAACTTATAAAAAATGAATATCATAAAAAATGTATCATTCCTTACCTGGGTATTCTGGAAATAATGCCTCCAAAGAGGCCTTATTTTATCTTGACCACCAACATCCCATACTGTGAAACAAATATTCTTATATTCTACTGTTTCCACATTAAAACCTACAAAGAGAAAGACCAAAAAGACTGTTGTGCACAATGTCATTAAGAAAATAAACCCCTTTATTGTGGAATTATCTCAGAATTGCTTTTTTTAAGTCCCACTAAATAATCACCTAACTTAAAAACCTGAGTTATAATGATGAATGCATGTTATTGTACATCTGTTTAGACAGAATGTACACCAAAAGTGAACCCAAAGGTAAACTATGGACCTCGGGTGATTATGATGTGAAAATGTAGGTTCGTCTATTGTAACAAATGTATCACTCTAGTGAGTGATGTTGACAATGGGGGAAGGAATAATTTGGAATACCTCCCAGTTTTCCTGTGCAACTAGAACTGCTCTAAAAAACAAAGTCTTTAAATATAAGGCAGTTTCAAAATTGAGCTCTATTCTCTTTCATTTATAATAATCACCTGTAAAATTTCTTACCAATGGTAGGAATGGTGGTGACTATCTCCCCTAACTTCAGTTTATACAGAATGGTCGTCTTGCCAGCAGCATCCAATCCAACTAGAAAAGACATCACAGATTTTAAATCTAGACCAAAAGCACACACTAAGAAATTATTTTGCAACAATATATAGTTTGAAAGCTAAAGTTGACTGGTCAAGACACAAATGAGTTAGAAATAAAATTACTCATTTCTGATTTCCAAAGGCAATACTTTCTACAAAAAGTGTTGCCTTTTCACTTTTTCTTTCTAGACCTAAAGAGAGAGCATGTAGTAGTGAAAAGAAAATAGAATCTGGCTGATTCAGGCAATAATTTCTAGATTTGCTTTGCCACAAACTAGTCAAGTGCCTATACACAAATCACTTTAGGAAACTAAAGCCAGAGGAATTAGCTATAAAGTAAGGACACTGGATCAGATAATTTATGATCTCCAACTCAAGTTTGTATTATCTCTATGATCTCTTACCATTTAAAAAAAAAAAACACAAATTAGAAGCTGAATCAGAGAATACATAAAACAAGTGAATAAAGAACTAACTTTAAGATTAGTAAATTCAATACTATCACTTTAAATGACTTCCAAAGGAAGATAAGGCCAATTTTACTCTTACTTACATTCATTTCAACATCAAATGTGCAGAAATGAGAACAAAGACTGGTTAATATGAGTTGTAAAAATGACCCTATCATATTCATCAACACATGTCTAAATTCTTAAAATGCTTCCCAGGGACATATACAAGTGTGGAAGAATGTGCTTGGCTTCTGAAAAAAATTATTATTAAAACAAGAAATCATGCCCTGGCCAGTTTGGCTCAGTGGATAGTGTAGGCCTGCAGACTCAATGGTCCAAGGTTCAATTCTGGTCCAGGGCTTATATCTTGGTTGCAAGTACATCCCCAGTGGGGGTGTGCAGGAGGCAGCTGATTAATGTTTCTCTCTAATCCATGTTTCTAGCTCTCTCTCACTCTCCTTTCCTCTCTGTAAAAAATCTCTCTCTCTCATATATATATATATATATATATATATATATATATATATATATATATATATTTATATATATATATATTTACAAAATAGTGCAACCATAAGGTTTTTAAAGCAACCACAAGTTATTTTTAAAATAAAAACTATGACAATATTTAAATGACTTGCAGCCACATAGAAGTTTCTAAAATCACAAAGATATATGCAAACCAAAAGTTTTTTAAAAAAATATTTCTATTGAAGATTTAAGATGCACACATTAATGTTTACCATCATTTAAAAATCATTATACAGGTCTTTACTCAAAAACATGTTGGTCTAACAATATTGTGCTATTTTAATAATTTCTTGAGTTTGTACTTCCTCAATATCCCAATGTTTGGCGATGAGACTTCTCCACAAAATGAAAACTATAACCAATTTTAACAAGCCAAGATAAGACTCTAATCTGTACAGTCCAGTTATGTCCTCCCTCCCTCTCACCCCCATAAACAACTCACTGTATTGAAAGATACACTGGAATTACTTGTTCTCCTTAACTGGACCCACACTTGGACAAAAGTGTTAACAGCAGCAAAACTAACCCCCCAAATTTTTGTCAACCATTAAAAAGTTTGTCTACAAACTGTGGCAGCAAGAAATATTTATATTTTAAATTAAGCTAGATTTCAATTATCTCAACGTGAAGGGGGAAAAAACATGCAGAAAGGAAAAATTGGGAAAATTTCAGATATTTTTCTTTATTGTTTCCTTTATCTTTCAAATTTTCTTACAAAGAAGCTTGAAATACAACTTCATAATAATTTAACATTGAATGTTTACTGTGTTCCAACTATATCACTAGGTGATTCCATCCATTTTTATAATTTAATCCCCACAACAATCTTCCATTTTTCAGATGAAGCATTTGAGGTTCAGTATTAACCCCCACAATTACAGGGAAAACAGAGAACAGATAATTCAACCTCTGGGTCTTGTGGAGAAATTAAATCCCTCATACTAACGGGAATGTAAAATAGCATAGCTGCTTTGGAAAAGTTTGGCAGTTCCTCAGAATGTTGAACATAGTTAACATGACCCAACAATTCCACTCCTAGGTATTTATTTACTCAAGAGAATAAACATGCCCACACAAAAACTCACAAGTGTCTCTAACAGTATTATTTGTAATAGCCAAAAAGTGGGACCAACCCCATTTCCATCAAACAACCCCATTTGAAAATGTAGTCTATGTATACAGCAGAATTATTGTTCAGTCATAAAAAGGAATGAAGTACTGATACATGCTATAATATAGATAAACCTAAAAAAACATGATGCTAAGTGAAAGAAGCTAAACACTAAAGGTCACATACTGTATGACTCCATGATACAAAATATTCTAAGTAGGAAAACCCACAGAAACGGAAAATAGATGAGAGATTGCAAGAGGAATTGGGGGATGGGACAATGACAGACATTTTGGAGGTATGAGGTTTCTTTCTGGCCTGATGGAAACGTTTTAGAATTGAGAGTAGTGATTGTTACACAACTTTGTGAATTTACTAACAACCACTGAACTGTACATTTTAAAGGGATGAATTACATGTTTTATAAATTACATCTCAATTTTTAAATTAAAAACAAAACAAAAACACCAAGACTGATGCCAGAGCTCTCAAATAGTATTTGTACACTGCCACTCTGCCTTCTGATTCTTCTGATGGACACAATCTATATTAATATTTTATCTAATTGCTCAGAGGTTTGACCACCAGAGGAGCCTTCCTCCTAAACCTCTCTGGTACCCCCGCCCCAAAGAGTCAAAATATAAGAGAAAGGCAGAACTTAACTGTTATCATCTTTTAGAAAGCAACATTTTTCAGCTTTTCAACAGTCAAGAACTTGCAACTTCAAAGAATAGAATTAGTAATTCCCCTATGAACACATTGGTGGTTTTCAGATATAAACAAAACGTGGGGATCACTTACTGAAATTATGTATTATCAGGTCAAGATATGTTGATCCTACATAAAATAGTACAATGAAGGGCTACAGGAAAGATAAAAGCTGGAAACTCTGAATTTAAGCTCATATTAGTTAAGGAGCTATTTCTCCTTGAAGGGGAAAAGAAACTACTATGACTGACTAATTTCTGTTAATCTTAGTTTGTTACTTTAAATCTGATATTGTTTTTAACTAGTTTACTGCAAGCTGTAACTTCAATCAAATACCTTTTTAAATTACTTGAACTTTTGGGAAAGTGGATATAGGAATAAAATTTAAAATTCTCCACAGTAATTTGGCAAACCAGACTCAGTAGCTAACTGGTATCTTTTTAATTTTAATACTTTAACAGAGGCAGACATCTTAACTATCTATTATTTATGCTTTCATTCAGAAAGCTGAACAAAAATTTCTAAGAATTATCAAAATTCCAAATCACCTATTTCTCTATCCATCATATGGTTACACTTCATCTGACTAGTTACCATAAAAGTTGTTCTTGTGACTGAAGTATTTTTAACCAAGGGACCTAATTATCCTGAAATTATAATACTAAATAGTAGCAAACCTGAGTAATAACTGAATTACAAATCACTACTTCTACACCCTGCACAAATGTTTTCCATCAGTTTTGAGTAGAGGAAGAAATGCTCCTCTAATATAGTAAAAATGGGACAGTAATTACAGCATAATTCTACTATTCTTTTCCCTCTTGTAGCCATCACAAAGATTAAGGGAATGAAGAACAGCAATTTACTTCCAACAATCTTCAGGAAAAGGACCAAACATACATTTCCAGGAACACAAGGTCGTACTAGTTCATCTCTTTAAGGAACAGGCTGAAAATTAATTTATCACAGTCCAAAGTCCTCTCATTGACTTCCGATACTTATTTAGACTGCCATTTTTCAGTGTCTTTTAAAGTCTAAATAACATGCTTGTCCTCCTAAATTCCGTCTTCAAAAATGAAATCCAAGAAACACTTTGAAAGAGAAAATATTTCGATTTTCCTTTGTGAGTGATTTAATAACAACTGTTCCGTGAATTGTAAAGAAGTTAGAATCTTAACAGAGAGGTTAAAAAAAGAACCAAATGTGTTTACCCTTCATCTTCATACACCTTGAAGAACTACTGAACCTTGCTTTGGAAAACTTTCAATGGTACAACTTGAAAATAATACCTTAACCCTTTCCACTCTCTAGAAAACAAGGTAATGAACCAAGTTTCAATTTTAAAGTTAGAGGGGCACCTTTTAGCATTATTGGGGTCCATGGAGTTTAGCTACAATGCAGATTAGCCACAGTACTACGGGGGAGGGGTTGCTTACTTCACTCAAATGACAAGTGCCTTCTCCCTCAGCTGGGCGAAAAATAACCCTGAAAAAAGCAGGTTTTCAAAAGCCTATTTCCCACAAGAATTAAAAAAAAGAACACCTTTGTAGTTACTAAGAAGGCTACCCTAACATTAAGGGTCATAAAGTCCAGTGACTGAAAACTTATCGGCTTAAGAAAATTACTTTCTGAAAGTTTCTCTCTTCTCCCCCCTACCCCCCATTAAACCTAGCCAGCTGGGCTAATAAAATAAGACTACGGATAAAAAAAAATCAGACTGAAAGCCAAAGAGAGTGAATCAAACACATTTAGTGTTTGAGAGTGGCTGAAAGAAACATGTCATGAAAAACTCAGTGTCCAGGGCTCCTGACGAGGAAAAGGAAAAATAGGAAGCGGGACGGAACCCAGCGCGAAGCAAAGTTGAGCGAAGTGAGCGGAGGAGCCGGGTCCCTCCGGGGCCACCGCGCCGCGGCGGCCACTTCCGCCCGGCCGGCCCGGCCCGGCGCCCGCCCGCCCGCCCGCTCGCTCACATACCGATGGAGCGAGCGGAGTGGACACGGAAGGAAAGGGGGGAGGCGGCGGGAGGACCCGAGTCGCTCTGCCTGCCTCCCGGCCGCTGCCCACACCGGGGAAGAGGGCAGCCAGATCGCACTCTCAAGAAGGGGCCCCGCCAGCGTCTTCTTTCCCGGCTCTGCGGGAACCAGGTCGCTTCCCCCCTATCTCCGCCCAATGTTGTCGGCCTTTCGAGAAGATCAAGGAGAGGAAGCCAAATGCAGGAGGAGGAGGAAATGTGGCCCGCGCCGCTACAGGGCCTCTCGGACAGGTCATGGGGCAACCACCCAGCCTTCACCCCATTGTTTCCCCTTCAGAATCCCTCCCGACCCCCAACCGCCGCCCCTCCCCCACCGCGGCGGAAAGAGGCGAAGCCAGGCCCCGCCGCCGCCGCCGCCGCCGCCGCTCCCCGGCCCCCACGCCGGGCTCGGACTCCGCTCTCGGCCGCTCACTCACCCATCAAAATGCGCATCTGCTTCTTGCCGAAGAGGCGGGAGAAGAGGGAGGAGATGGTGAGGCCCATGGCGGTGGCTGCACTCGCGATGGGCAGGAGCAGAAGGGGTTCGGTTGGAGCTTCCCCCGGCCTTCTGCCTTCACGCTCCCGGCAAAAACTGAGCGAGGTGGAGAGGGGCGAACGAAGGAAGAGGGCGGCAGGGGGGCGGCTCGCAAGCCGGCGCGCCGGGCGACGCTCCGGGGCCGGGATCAGCGGGGCGCGGACCTGCTCGACGTCTGCCGCGGCAGCTCCGGCTCGAGTGTTAAGGCTTCGGCTGTGCCACGTCACTCGGCGACCGCGGCGACTCCGGCAGCGGCCCGGCCCCTCCAACGCGGACAGAATCGCGTCACCGCCGGCCCATCCCCCCGCGCTTCCGGTGCTGCCCGGGCTACTGCGCCTGCGCACGGAGCGGAGCGGCCCGCTCTGCTGACGTGCATCTCCCGTCGCCGCCGCCTCCGGGACGTGGCCGCAGGAACCGGGCGCGGCCAGTTAGCACAGGCGTCCTGGGGGACAAAGTCCCACAATGCCTCGCTGTGTCACTTCCACCAATCAGACTTTAGCGAGACCCTTCCGCCTGATAAGTGCATCCTGGAGATTATAATCCTTGCTTCCGGAAAAGGTGGGTTGTGCATTGTGGGTGAGGAGGTAGTTGACTTCCGTTCTTTCTGCCTTTAGGGCGTCGTCCTCCACTGCAACGCGTGCTGGGGATTCCCCGGTCCCTCCAACGAACACGTTGCACGCGCTGGACCAGACTCACGCCCTCGTGGACGACGAGCTGGCGGAGAGCCTGTGGCAACCGCTGAAGAAGCTAGGTCTAGCCGCTTCCAAAATATTTGTGATCTTAATGTTTTCCTGATTCAAAATAAGTCATACATCTTGTGGGGAAAAAAAAAAAAAAAGAAAAGTTCCCGGTAATCTATGCCACTTCCCCCATAGATCCCAACTGTTTTAGTAGTTTAGGATATTCACCCGTTCTAAAGATCTGTTTCAATTTTAACGCCCTTGGAAGTATTTCTAGATACATCACTCCCACTCAAAGAATCATAACTGCTCTTCATAGTTAAAACAATATTACCCATTGAAAACCCTTTTGCCCACTTGTCTGAAACCTTTAAGAAGGGGACATCTGAAATACTTTCAACAATAAAGATAAAAATTTTTAAAGGAAGTTTAACGTTCAGTTATGAGAATGCAAATCATAACCACAGTGATATACCAACTTGATAATAAGGTGGCTAAAATAAAAAAGATAATGACTAGAGTTAAGAATGTAGATAAATCAGAAACCTCATACACTGCTGATGGAAACAAAATGGTAAAAGAACTTTAGATAGAAACAGTCTGGTAGTTTCTCAAAAAGTTAAGCATAGACTTTCCATTTAACTCAGCAATTCCACTCCTAGGTATATAGTCAAGAGAAATGAAAACATACCCATACAAACATTCATAGCAGCATTTTTCATAACTAGAGGTCTGGTGCACAAATTCGTGCATGGGTGGGGACCTTCAACCTGGCCAGCAATCTGACCAGTTGTGGATAGGGACTTTGGGAGGTTGGCGGACTGGCCCCATCATGGGGCCAGGTGAGGTGGGGGTGTCAGTCAAGGGAGGTTGGCTGTGGGCCCACGCAATGACCATCAATGGGCAGCTCCTATGTTAAGCGTCTGCCCTCTGGTGGTCAGTGCAGGTCATGGCTACTGTCTGGTAGTGAAGGTCACTTAGGCTTTTATATATATATAGATGCCCCTAGCACAAAGATTCCTGCAATAGGGCTTCCTGCTGTGGTCTCTGCAGTCCCGCCTGCTTTCCTCCCTTCTCAGCAGCCCCACGGGCTTCTCTCCCTTCTCCCTGCCCCGCCTGTTTCCCTTCACCACCGTCCTGCTTGCTTGCTTCTCTGCAGCTTCGCTCCCTTCTGCAATGCTTGGCTTCCTTCTACACTGTCTTCAGTCTTCGCTCTGGCCTGGGTATGCAAATTTACCGCCATCTTGGCTGGGTTAATTTGCATGCTCACCCTGATTGGCTGGTGGACATGGCTTGTGGGTGTAGTGAAGATGGGGTTAATTTGCATTTTCTCTTTTATTAAGATATAGTAACCCAAAGTGGAAATGACTCAAATGTCCATCAACTAGTGAGTAAACAAAATGTAGTACATTCATACAATGAATATTCAACAACAAAAAGGAATAAAGTACTGACGTATACTATAAACTAGATAAGCCTTGAGAAGTTTATATTAAGTGTGTATGGGGGGTAGAGGGGAGATCTATCATAAAGTACCACATATCCTGATTCCATTTGTATGAAGAATTCAGAGCAGGCAAATCTATGGAGACAGATTTGTGGTTGCTTGGGGCTAGAGAGGATGGGAGGCTTGGGGATTACAGTTAAAGGGTGGAGGGTTTTCTTTTGAGGTGATGAAAATGATCTAGATTTGATGATGGTGATGGTTACATGGCTCTATGAATTACTGGAACTATTGAATTACAAACTTTGAATGAGGAATTGTATGGCAAAGTTGTTAACCAAAAAAATAAAATAATTTTTAAAACAAATCAAAAGGCAGGACTCTAGTCTGTGTGTTTTTTAATCCTCACCCAAGGATGTATGTGGTGTGTGTGTGTGTGTGTGTGTGTGTGTGTGTGTGTTGTTTTTGAGAGAGAGAGAGAAAGGAAGGAAGAGGGAAGGAGAGAAACATCAGTAAGAGAAATGTCCATCCGTGGGTTGCCTCCCTGGTAAGCGCCCTGACCAGGGATGAATCCACAACCTAGGTATGCACCCTGAATGAGAATTGAACCCGCAACCTTTTTGATGAATCACAACATCCAACTGAATCACCCAGCCATGGCTAGTCCATTTTTATATTTCATTAGAAGGCAAACTGGGAGACAAAGTCCCACAATGCCTCACTTTGTCACTTCTAATCTCTGCCTGATAAGTGCATCCAGATCCCTGGATTTGGCACACCATGACACTCATATATGGTTAAATAATAGATAGTTGGTGAATAAAATATAGTATATTCTATGGGATACTATAAAAAATTAGAATGATGTAGAACTATAAATCCTAATGAAAAGATCTCCAAGATACAATTAATGGAAAAAGCCAAATAATGATAATACTATAAAGTAACATAAAATTGTAGATTTCGCTAGGGGTATTTGTAAATGCACAAGAACTTTGAAGTAGAATCTGTAAAAAGATAGTTAGTGGTTACCTGTTTAACCTGTATAGAGAGAGGAGGGAGCCTTCCCAGAGCCTGAGAGAACCTGGTTTGGGAGTAGTAGTCAAAAGAGAGCTTTATCTGTACTTTAAAAATCCACTTGAGTAAGACCAACCAGCCTGGCTCAGTGATTGAGCTCTGATACAGGAAATCACAATTCGATTCCTGGTAGGGGCATATGCCTGGGTTATGGGCTCAGTCCCTAGTGTGGGGCCTGCAGGAGGCAGATGCTCTCATCATTGATGTTTCTCTCTCTCTCTCTTCCTTTCTGAAATTAATAAAAATAAAAGTGGGTATTTTAAAAAATCTATACATATAAAATTTACATGCAATAAAGTTCACCTATTTTAAATATAAAATTTGATAAACTTTAACAAATGTATATAGTAATGTAGCCAACACCAGAATCATGATATCAATCATATCTATTGCCCCCAAAAGTTCCTTCATACTCCTTTATAAGTCATCCTCACTTCCAGCCCCTGGCCCACCATTGATCTGCTAACACTATATATTTGCCCTTTCCAGAATTTCATATAAATGAAATCATATGGTATGTAGTCTTTTGTGTGTGGCTTCTTTCTCCTCGCATAATGATTTTGAGATTAATCCAAGTTATATCATGCATCAATAGTTTTTTTCCTTTATTGCTAAGTAGTATTCCATTGTGTAGAGATACCAAATTTTTCTATTCATTCACCAGTTGATGAGCATTGAATTGTTTAAAGTTTTGGGCTTTTATGAATAAAACTTTTTAAACATTTTGGTAAAGTGTTTGTGCATCTGTATTAAATTTATTTTCACAAGATGAATTTATCCATGCACTACTTACATAATGTAAAAAGTAATCTCCAAATTTGATGAATGAGTTAATCAGTGTTTGACATATATTCTTCCAGATTTTCCTCTCTGAAATACTAACATCTTACATTAATGGAATTTTACAGCGTGAAGTAACTCCTTTTATGATTTAATAAAATACTGTGGACATTTAAAAATAGCAGTACTTTAGATTTAACTCATTCTTTTTAAGGGCTGCATTCCATTGTGTGCCTGTAAGGTAACTTATTTAACTTATCTGTCAAATTGTAAAACGTATACTCTTTGATTCAAAAATTCCACTCCTAGTAATTTGTTATAATGAAAATTTCCCTCAAGTTTGCTATGTGCTAATTGTAAGAAGTTCATTACAGAATTATCTGTAATGGCTAAAACTGGAAGCATCAATCTTTTAAAAAATATTTAAATCTCCCTTTGTTTCCCTCACTGATCACTAGCCCAGATATTCTAATCTTGCTTTTGCTTTGCTACATTTTATAAATTCACAATGATAAATAGGAGAGAAATTAGACCCATTGCCAGGATAAAGATTTAATCTTTTTTTCCTAACAGTGCCATCTTAGGTGATCCGTAGTTGCTTGTTCCAACTGTTGCATTCTGCAGAATGGGGTTGAATAAGAAAAACCTGCCAAGTTCAAAAAGCATAAGATATTCTGTATTGTTGACAGTCTGTTGAGTAAAGCTCCATTTGGTAGAACTAACTTTAGAAACTAATTTCTCAGTAGTGACCCTGGGCAATCCAGAGCAAAAACTTCCTTATTCAGGTGCATAAGGTAAAGCTATTTTGGACTCTACAATGAGTTTATCCTGCCTTTTAAAAAAACTTTCCAAAAATTAAATGTAATTAAATATACATTTAAAGAAAACGACCAAAAAATGCAAAGGGAAAGCAATCTGTTTCTGCATTTATACTTTTAAACTGTTTAAGCAACTTAATAGAAATGTTTATTAATTACTAGGGTGAAGC